CCGGGGGGTTGTCCCGGTGGGGGGGGCCGGCCGCTGCTGCGGGGTTCTCGGCCCCGCGCGGGTCTGCCAGCGCTGGCAGCGTCGCCTCTCGGTCTGGCCGGCGACTCGGAGCTGCCGCGCGGGCTCTGCCGAGAGCAGCCCTCGCCCCTTGGAGGGGTCCCCCAGCTCTTTGTGGGTGCACAGCTGCTTTCCGCTTTGTTCCCCCGCCTCGCGAGCGGGAGAGCCGGGGGTCGTGTTCGTTAGCGTGCCCGAAGCCGCCTCAGTGCGGCTCTTCCCCGGCCGTGCGGTGATGCAGACCGAACGTCACCGGAGGAGAGCTGCAGTGAAGGCTCAGGGAGAATTTTAACGTGCCTTTCTGCCACGGCCTCGACCGTTTCCCTTTCCCCCTCCGAGCCCGAGAGCGGTGACCGATGCGGCCGCGGGAGAGGGCCGTGCCGGAGCTGCCCAGCTGCTCCTGCCGCTGGCGGGGGATCGGCCCCGAGGCAGGGCTGGCTGTGGGGTCGGATCCTTCCCCGTGCTCCCGAGCAGTCGGGAGGTGGGGGAGCGAGGCCCAGCCTGACCAATGCAGCAGCCCCTATTTCACGTCGCCTTCCTGCGCTTGCCTTATTTTGACAACCGCGGCTTATTTCTTAATTATTCGTGATCCTTATCAGGAGGCTGGGTGCGCGCCATGCTCCGACGGGCTCTTGGGTCCGACCAAAGCACGGAGCCGAGCTCCGTCCCCGGCAAGCGAAGCCTCGAAGGCAGCTGCTTGAGCCGGCACCAAACTCCGTTTGCCCGTTCTTGCTTTCGGACGGACTACCTGGCGCTGGCAAACTTTGCAGGGCGAGCCAAATCCCGTGAGCCATTTTTAAACTGATCTGTAAGACCGTCCATGTTGAAAGGCGTCGGGCAACAGTCAAATGAAGTTAACCCCCCCCCGCCCCCCCAAGTCTAAATCTAAGGCGGTTTGTGTGTAGACAAGGTCTCATGTGGCTTTTTTATGGTGTTTGCTTTCTAATACGTGGTGAAAATTACCGTTTGGGGAGGATTTGTGGGATCCTATTGTATTTATGAAGCTGTTAAACAGCATCTACGCTAGATTGGGATCTGTAACTCTCTGCTGGAGCAGTTCTGGCGGTGGCGGCAGCTGCACCGTGCCGGCTACAGGCTCCTCTCCGGTGCCTGGTGCAGAGGTGGTCTGGGGGGATTGGCGCCCCGCACCACGGGCCTGGCACCACCTCCCCGCGACGGCTGGCGGCGGGGGGAGGAGGCGCCGGGGGGACCCCCCGCGCGCCTGTCCACCGGGGGCCTTT